TTAAAATTTTAATTGTATATATTAATTTAAATATAGATAATAAGATAATAATAAATTTGTAAAATTAATTAAACTTATTTAAAGAATATATGCACGAACATTAGTTGCAATTGCTTTTGATTTTTAATATCATTAACAATTACTGGAATATCACTATAAACATTTACTTTAGTTTAATCATTAGACAAAATTAAGCCAACAATACATCCAAGTTGTGATGAATATCTTAAGCATAGTTTTAACTTTGTACTATCTGTCATAGTCGCTATTAGACTATTATATTGAATACTATCAATTAAACGTTTAAATCTTGCAATATTTTCATAACAAAGGTCTGGATTAGTGAGAATATCTTTATTATTATTTCGCAAAGATCTAAAATAATTAAAATATAAATTTTAATAATAATTAATAAAAATTTATTTTAAACTATTCTTTGATAAACTTTTTATATAACTTTTTTATATATTTATTTTTACTAAACATATATATATTTAATTTAAACAATTAAGTATTATCTTATTTAATCTTAAATATTAAAATTAATATCGATATGTTAAATAAAGATTTTACTCTAAAATAAATATATAAAAATTATGTTATATAAAACAAATTTTGTGATAAAGTATAATTAGCTATATACTTATATAGCAAATTATACTTATTGCAAAATTCTAATTGTCTAGAATATAATTACATATTTACTTCTTACCTAATAGATTGAATACATCGTCCTTCTAGATTTTGTCAAAATAAATCTAAAGCTCTTATACTAAAGCTTCTCAGAAAAACCAAAAAATTGGTAAATTCTTCAGTATATTTAATGTTTTGTTTACTCTTATTTTTGATTTTCCATTCTGCTGCATCATTCATAATTTCACATAATCCAGTAAAAACAGGTTGTTGATTAAATATACCTTAAAGTGCTTTGTTAGCTAAATTAATCCATAAATTACTATTATTGTCACAATCATTATTAAGTAAATTCTATATATCACAAAGGTGAATATTTTGAAGATATTTTTTAATGCATTATCTTCTTAGTAGTATTTTGGCATAAACTTTATATTTTTTGATAATAGAATCTTTTTAGCAATATTTGTGTATAGTCGTTTATCAGATCTTATATAACAACATTTTTTACAAATATTGCTACGCTCAGTATAATCAGTAAATATTTTTAAATGAATTTAATCACCTAAATATATATTATATATATTAAAATTTAATAATAACTATTTTTAAATTTTATATTAAAATAACTTACTTGCTCTGTCGATTTGCCATATTGATTCAGCATATAAAGTTCTATTTAATTTTCTCTTTTCTTTATCATTTAAACTTTTTTGAGAATATTTTGTATTGTGAAATTTTGGAAATAATTCACATACTATAATTTCAATACGTCTAGACTACCAAATTGTGCTGGAGTACATTTTATATATAAAGATATTTGTTTTGATTGTAGTCCTTTACAAACTTGCCATTTTTTTGAATATTGTTTTATCTCAGATTCATTATTATTAGAAATAATAGTAGTAATTAGATTATTATTATTATTATCATTTCTTTCATCTATTTGCAATAAATCATCATCGTCCATATTATCATATATATCAGAATCGAACTCTTCTTCTGAACTTTCTATAGTTTTAGCTTGATTAGATTTATAAAATGTGTAAATTGTTCTTTGACCTTCTTTTACTTTATACCCATTTTCATAATAATCTTATATATTTAGGGTTAGTAAATTTTTTTTGTATTTTTTTATTAGAAATATTAGAAAATTTGCAAGAAATTTTAATTGTATTATAATAAGCAATATATTATATAGTTATATATTTAATTTTGATTAACTATTTATATAAATATATTTTAACACATTCTAATCCTATTATTGACGGCCCCAACAAAAACTCAACCAACTTTAAAATTCTTAAGCTCTTTAATCATCTTGGTATATCAGTTATTCACAATCCAATTTATGAAATCCTGTATACTCCTCAAGAAGGCTCAATATCTCTTGAATCAATACTCTCATTACATCCTAACTATATGACTTTTAAGAAACAACTTCGCAAACTTCATCTTCTCTATTTAGATCAACTTTCTACATATGACAATTCTTGTCTTTTTAGCTGGGAGCATATTGCATCAAGACTTAGTAAAATTTCTAGAGAAAGGAAACCTTTTTGGTTTACAACCCTCGAAGATCTAGTACTAAACCACAATAGCAACAGAACATTTTATAAACAATATAAACTTTCTGATACTAACTACTATAGCTTTTCTACTGGTCACTTCTTTTTAAAATCAAAGCCATGCCTTATAACTACTATTAAAAA